TATATTTTTCTACTGTTTCTTTATAGTTAAGAAAGTCAATATTTGTGCACACACTTAAATATAATATAAAGTAAAGAGTATTTATTTATTCCATTTTCTTTCCAATATATACTTTTAGTATTTTTTTTAAATATATTTAATATTTTTAAAATTAATAATTTTAATGTAGTTATCTAAGCTTTTGATGTAATGATTTTAATTAATTGATATTATCGAATCATTTTATTTAATTTATTATAGTAAAAATCATAAAAATGAATGTTAAAATAATATTAATTATTTTAAATTATAAGAAAATAAATAATAAAAATAGAAAATAAAGTATCCTATAAAAGAAGACTAATTATTATAAAGATAAAATAGAATATAAGAGGAGATGAGGATGATAATGTAGTAGAAATAATAGAGTCTTCAAAAAAAATGTAGAATGTAAAAAGTTTAAAAAGAAATAAAAGAGTTAAAAAAAGATATATATATATATATATATATATATATATATATATATATATAATTGGATTAAATTTATTATCTCCTCATATATTATTATATATTATTAACGTAATTTTAGTTTAATTAAAAATTAGAATACAAATATATACTATACTAATATACCAATATATTATAATATTTGTAATTTATTTTCATTGTGTATAAATTACAAAACTAATAATTTTTTAAAAATTTATTGATAATTTTTTTAACTTATATATTACAAAATATTTTTAATACTTTAATAAATATAACTTTTTTAAATATATTTCATCAATTTAAAGTATAATTTTTTTTGTATTTTTTAGTTTTTTTTAAATGTGGATATCTTTAGTATTTTGTATATGTAAATATAGTTTATATATGTTTTTAAACCTTTTTCTAAAATTTGTTTTTAAAAATATAATATTATTTTTAATATTTATTATTTATATTTTAAATTTTTTTCTTAAACATGAACGAATAATATTAATATTTTTTAATTAATTAAATTTATAAATAATGAATTAAAAACATTTATTATCTTTTGAAAAAATACAATATTATCTTTAATATTTTAATGTTTATATTATAAATTCTTTATTAAAATATTAAGGTTCTTGTCTTTTTTTCTATCTCTAGTTCAAGTTATCAAGAATTTTTTTTTCATCTTATAAATTAAATTTTAAATATAAAAATATAAAAATATATAATTATATAAAAATATATAAATATATCAAAATATATAAATATATTTGTATTTATAGATTTTATATTTATATTTATACCGATATATATTTATTTGTATATAAATATAATTTATTTGTAAATTATTATAAAAAATTCCTAGTAGCTTAGTAGAGTTGGAGTAAGTTCGAATCTTGACATTGACAATAATTTGATAATAATTCAAACTTTTAAAAAATGTAATAAATAATAAAAATATAATATAAAGGGTAGGGGAGCCTCTAGATAAATAGAGGAGTTGTAAATAAATAAAAAACATAAATAATTAACTTTGTTATCGATTTAGCAATTGAAATTATTCGTTATTTTTTTAACTTTGTCACCAATTTAACGACCGATTTAATAATATTAATTTCGGTTGTTATTTAGGTATCTAAGGAATAAGTGACCAAACTATTTAGCGACCACCTTATCGGTAAAATAATTTTACGATCGAAATGAAAATCGGTCACTAATACATTAGCTACTTGACCTTTTACGATGATGCATTTCGGTCGCTAAAACTGTTTTTACTTGTAGTGTTATATCATAGTACTACCTTTCTAGCCTTGATTAGATAAAGAGAAAGCTTTCTACAGCTTGATTTTCTAAGATAGCAAACTAATCCTTTATTTCTTCCACTTAAGTTATGACACCTCTTGATTTTGTTGCCCTTAAAAACTTGCAAAATTAAGCAAACAAACTTCTCCATTCTCCATTGGTCTTACAAGCTATTGTCCATCAAAGCAGAGGAAAATGGGTTGACAATGTGTCTGAGTCATATCTGAGAATGTTGGAGGGTTGTGGAATGTCAAAAGATCTTCTCTTGCTAGTAAAAGAACACCTCTGGCAATTTCTATCCTTTTTTTTTCATAGTAAAGAAACAATAGAAAACACCTAATTGAAGCATAATTGAGATTTACCAAGACTCGAAATGCTTGACCTCGGGTTTTATTGGAAATCATGCTTACATCTTAAAAGTCAAACAATTATCTATTAGAATATGTCAATCTCAGTCTACATGAAAATAATTTTTTCTCTTTTGTTGTATAATATTTTATCCATATGAATATTAGAAAAATGATCATCACAAAATTTGACAAATGGAAGAAGAATGTCATGAATGGTAGGTTTTTCAATTCTCTTAAAAGGACAAAGGTGCATAGCAAACAGAGTTATGCTCAGGAGATGCAACCAACATTTATATTACTTAAAAAAAAAATGAAAATAACACAAAAAAAGTAAATTAAAATTGCCTTATAACTCCTTCTTTGCCTCATTCTAATTATTTTTTTGTCTATTTTAACTTTAAGGAATCCAAAAACAATCATAAACTAGAAAAATTAGAATTTATTGACAAATTTTAGCGATAAAAGATATTCAAATTCCTTTTTCTTTGACCTAATTCTTCTAGTTTCAATCATCCAAACCCCAAACTTTAAATAAAGAAAAACAAAAAATATCTCACTTGATCCTTTAGGACGTGTAATCTAAAGATGTGTCAAATTGAGAATATTAAGCATTATCACGGTCTCATGAACACCAATAAGCGCGAACACCAACAGAGCCTTCACAAACACCTACCACATTCAATCACTTCATATTTATCATCATCATATACATATTTTTAACAATTAAATCAAATATCAAAGCAAACTAAAAACTCGTCCACAAAATAAAAAAAATGTTAATGGATGCGACAATGGGAGGAGTTAATAGAGAGAATAGAGGAAGAAAAATTATAACTTAAACAGAGGAAGGAAAACTAGAACTTGAACAAAGACAATGAGCGATGACAACGAAGAAAGAATTATGCAATGTAGAAGAAGATTAAGATATTGCACGAAAAGAAAGAAGTAGAGAGCACATCATCAAGGAGAATTAGAACTCGAATTCAAGCAATGACCATCAACGATAATAAAGATAGAAGTATGCAATGTGGAAGAAAATTAAGAGATTGTGGGAAAAGGAAAAAGAAGATAACATAGTACGAGGGATCAAATATGAAAGTTTAACCCCAAACAATTATTATGGTGGTTATAAAAGGAACAAGCATAATAAATTATTTATTACATCAGTTATAATAAGAAAGAACATAGTAAATATTTTAGGTTTAATATTACAAAAATACTATTATCACACTTATGGGAGTTAATTTCCATTCTATCGTAAAACTGATATAACAAGTTTTAGTTCTAAAATAAACTTACTATATCGGTTTCTATTATACCACTAAAATAAACTTACTATGTCGATTTCTATTATACCAACATGTAAGGGACTTAGTGTGCTAATTTTTCTTATAACTGACATAATAAATATTACAACTATTATTATTATCGTTTTATTTATTACAACCATGATAATAATCATCATTGAATGGTTTTTTTTTTCATTAGTAGTATATATTCAAACTCTAGTAATAATCTGTTAACAACACTGATAAAATATAGTTATGATATCTATCCAATAAAGGAGATTATGTATCTATGGACACGTTAAATTATTTTATCCTATATCAAATAAAAACAATTAATTATTTAATAAATATAAATTAATTATCATTTAAGTAATGATCAAGTTATTTAAAATAATCACTTATTTTTCTATAAAAAAATAATAAATATATAAATAAAATTGATGTAGACATGAAATTTTAATTTATTAAAATAAAATAACATAATAAAAAATAGAAAATGAATAATAATAATTATTATTATGGAGATTCATTTTTTTCATATTATTTTGTCATTTTATCTTTAATTTGTTAAGTGTTTTTTTATAAATATTAATAAATGAATTCACATTTTTAATCTATATTCTTATTATACACGTGTCTTTCACGATTTTATTTTTAATGATTTGATAAATATTTTTTATCATATTAGTAAATTTTCATTATTATAGAAAATAAAACAAATAATAATAATAATAATAATAATAATAATAATAATAATAATAATTATTATTATTATTATTATTATTATTATTATTATTATTATTATTATTATTATTATTATTATTATTATTATTATTATTATTATTACAGTTGTTACACACAAAAACAAAGAGAATGAATAATCTAAATTAATATTAAAACGTGTTTCCTTCGATTCAAATAAAGGGACGAGGCTCTAAAAAAACAAGCACATATGTTACGTTGAACCAAACACAGCAACTAATAGAAAACAAAGCAAAACACATTTAAGAAAATGCGCAAATGCGATTGTTTATTCCTTGATTCACATTTAAGGTTTGTATTTATTAGATTTTATTATGTCATTAAATAATAATATTTTAAAGGAATGACAATTTTACAAGATTGATAGTTTTAATTTAAAAGATTAATAGTTAAAATTTTTATATTTTGTACTATTTAATAAAAATTAGAAAAAATTTAATAATATTTTTCAATATATACATATTTTAATATAAGTAATATAAATATATGTTCAAACAATAATAATAATAATAATAATAATAATAATAATAATAATAATATAAAAGTTATAAAATTAAAAATATTTAGTCATAATAATATATAAAAAAGAATGATATTAAAATTAATCTATTACATTTTCTATATAATTAATTTTAAAAAATAATATAGAAAAATGACGGATTAAAGTCAAAGAAATCAGAAATCTAATATGATTGGATTGGAGAGGGCAATTTAATTTCTAGCCCAACGAAAGTCACAAGGAAATTACTACTCTGCAGAAACAAGGAAACGATGAGGAGAAATACATAGTAATCAATTCCATAACTGGAGGGATCCTTTTCTGTTTTTAAAGAAGAACAATAACTTACTTGAAGTCACACGTTACAATTTCTTTTAAGAATTGATGGAGGACATTTTTATTTGGCTGATGGCAAGCCTCCATTTCCAACTCATTTGGATCACCATATATCAGATACACAGCTGTGTTCTTGACAACCAATCCATGAGCAAGAGTCACAAAAATCTCCACCTTGTCTCCAGATCCTAAATTTGACATTATGCCCTCCCAATCTCTGTCATCAAAGGAAATTACTGTGCCATGCTTGTGTATGTGGAATGTGCACTTTGTGTAGTTAACAATTAAGACACTTGTAAGACATTCAGTTGCCAAGTTGTCAGGGGTTGATAAATAAACAACACACAAAGCCATTCCCTTTACGTCACAGTCCTGAGGCATAGTGAAACAAACTGAATGTCCTTCACCCACATGGGCCAACCAATGAGGATGGTTGTTACCTGGAAGACAAACATAAGAAGATTCACTCCTTGCCAATCCCTGTCCCATGAGATAAAAGTCTTAGTCATGTATGTAATTTTGCTATTCAATTCATCACCTGTAATCACTACTTTACCATTCCAAATTTAAAAAATTGGCATTTTTTATCAATATACATTGTATTCCAAAACATAAAAATAGGCTTTAAAATTAAATTACAATATATTCCAAAACAAATAAAGGAGAGTAATTATTTGGCATGTTGATCATTAAAATCGGGTAGTTTTAGATGAAGCAATACAACTGTAGATGCTATAGGCGCATAAAGGACAGTACTGCAAATTCTTCTAGATACTTTATCAGGATCGTTAATTTCATGTTCTTTTAATAGCTAAAATGAATGGTGAAGGTAAGTACACAAAGGTAAAAAGCTAGAGAGGAACCTCATGTATGCTATCGCTTAGAGTGTTGAAGAATTCATTGTAACTTCCAACACCAATCAAAGAAAACCTCAAGTGATGCTCTGAAGTTCTTAATTTTGTAACATTTGCACCGCATTCGACAAGTGTTGTTCTTACTTGCTTAGATAGTTGAAACTCTGTGTCACATTGAACCAAAACACTTCGAAGATTTGCAAGGCTGCTAAACAATGGCGAAAGGTCACGCCAATTATTATTCTCCATATGCGTGCTAAACGGCCTAATATTGTGTGAGATCCAAGACCGAATGATAGAAGGATAAATTTTGTGTGACAATCCTTCAAATCCACGTAGGGATACATATCCAATGCATTTTGAGCTTACAATTGAAAGGGGAACTTGTTTCACTGCTTTATTTTCAGCAATTAGTGTTATCAAGGATTCTATCTTCACTATATCTTTTTCCAAAATGTGAATCTTGGAACAACCAGACAGGATGAGTTTTTAAAGATTTCAACTTATAAACCTCTTTTGGGAGATTGCTAAGACTTATACAATCCTTCAAATTTATCAGTAGAAGATTGCAGAGATCTCCTATGGATGGGTGTACCTTGCACAAACTTGGACAATCTTTGAGAATGAGCTGTTCAAGACTTGGTAGTCTTGAAAAGTCAGGTGTTTCTGTCAAGTACCTGGTGTGACTTAGATTGAGGAATTTTAACCCTAAAACCTACAAAAAGATGGTTTTTTTTTGAAAAAGATCAGAGAGGAAAAAAAAAAACAATGATGAAAAGATTATGTAAATTCTAGAAACATGAAGAATATGAAGTCCAATAAACTATTAGAATTAGTAACTTCACGTGAGAAATCTCTAAAATAATTTAGAATAATAAGTTAAAGATGTATTATAGATAGAAATATCTCTAATCCCCTAGGAATTTTTAGTAGTAGCTCCTTACTGGTATGTTAAGCATTTCTAAAAGCAATTGTCATGTCTCTCATTCAAAATTTCTCCTACTTATCCATTTCTTCCTAAAAACTATTTACTATGTTTTGAAATCAACTAAGTATCTCTATTTTGATTAACCAATGAGTTTTAGAAGAAAAAAGGCACGTAATGTATACCCGTGGTTGTTTCCAGACTCGTCGAAGATTACTGCATTTCAAATGAATCGAAATTACACCTTCCATATAACAGTTTTCCGGTATATGTTTTAAAGGAAACCCTCGATGACAGATCCACCTCAGTTGCTTAGAAAGGTTTGGATAATCTCCAGTGAATAATAGAGAGTCAAGATCCGGCACTCTCAATATCTGCTTGTTCTGGAAAGCACAAATTTCCAACCAAGATGTCATTGCTAATGGTAACTTGAGAATCAATCCTTGAATGGCTTCTGTTCCCTGTGATGAAAAACGAGCAATGAAAAAAATTTTGAGAAATCCCTCAATAGTAGAGCATAGCTACAAATGTGTTGCACATTAAAAAGCGAGCACTTTCAAAACTATATAAATGTAATATTTATTACATTATTCTCTGTCAGTACAAATCTTGCATCGTCAGTAAACAGTCGGTTGCGGTTCTGACGTTCCTTTGTTGAACTTCTATGAATAATCTCTCTTCCCATCTCTCGTAGCAAATGATGTACGCCGAGTTTATTACTCTTTTCAACTTTGAGGAGGCTACGCTCTATGAGAACTGCAATTCCAGTATCAGCATCTAGTCCACAACCATTTAGTATCTCTGTAACATAGCCTCTGTCTTTACCAATAAAGAAGCAACATACATCAAGAAATATATCCTTTTCCATCCCACCGCGCAAACCGTCAAAACTTATTCTCAATTTCTCTTTAACTTGATCACTGGGAATTAGTTTTAGTTTTGACAAAACACTTTTCCACTCTTTCTTTGTCCTCTCACTTAAATAAGAACCAAGTACCTCAAGAACTAGTGGTAGTCCTCCACAATAAGCAACTACATCTCTTGCAAGTTCATTGAAATCTTCTATTGGTTTTTCTTCTCTAAAAGCATGCCAACTAAAAAGCTCAAGGGAATCATTTTCGTTCATATTACTCATTTTATAGATATATTTAACACTGGATTCGTCCAATAGGCTAACGTCTGACGTTGAAATTATTATCACAGTTCCCTGACCAAACCATTTACTATTTCGACATAGGTATTCCAACGGGTGAAATGGATTGGCATCATTAAGTACAATGAGCACCCGTTTCCCAGAAAATCTTTCTTGAATTGTCGTTTTGTCCATCGCATGGCTCTTTATCTCGACCTTTGTTTTGAGGACATGTGAAATAAGTTTTTCTTGGAAATGAACATGCCCTCTTTGACAAATTTCTGTAACATCTTCAATGAAACTTTTATACATGAATGTACCTTGAATTTGGTTGTAGACGGCTTTGACAAGGGTGGTTTTACCCAATCCTCCCTCTCCCCATATCCCTATGACACTGACTTCGGTGGATTTATTTTCAATCATTCGCATCACATTTTCCACGTGGGATTGTAATCCAACTGGAAATTTAGTAGCAGACAAAATTGGTAAATAAAGGATGTTCTTAACAATTTTGTCCACTAGCTCAGCATCACTCCTTCAAGTTCAATAGCGATTATAGAACAGGTCATGTATTACCAAAAATGAAATCACAAGCTTAAAAAAAGATTCATTGAGTGAGTGATTTACCTGTAATTGCTCTCATCCCACCCAAACAAATTTGCTGCTTTGGTGAGTGCGCGGCTCCACCTGGACAAGGCATCTTCCGCTTGTTGTCCTGAAAATGTTTGTTGTGCAGTTGCCTTCAAGGCGTTTCCAAAATCACCCTTCTGAAGACGTACATCAGATGGCTGAATTTCGTAATATACGGGCAGAACATGTCGGCAATAAGTTTCATGCCATTTGATGATTTGTTGAAGCTCATGAAGACACCAAGCAGATTCAGCATAATTTTTGGTGAAAACAACTATTGCTACCCGACACATTTCTTTCGTTAGTTGTTCTTGGATCTGCATTCCCTTTAATACATTCTCCTGGTGAAGGAAAGTGGTGAATCCAGCAGTTGAGAGGGCAGAATCGAGATGAGAAACGAACTTCCTACGGATATCTTCCCCGGTGAAGCTGATGAGCACATCGCATGAAGAAGACGCAAATTCCATGAAGGAACTGATCAGGGTTGAATTGCAAGATGAGAAAGCAATGATGCAAAATAAAGATAGATGCTCTGTTCTAAAGTGCCACTACCTCCTTCTACTTCTTGTTACAACTTATTATATAAGCAAATACGAAACATATACCAGCAATCATTCAACTTATTGGCTAAACAGTCTCTAAAATTAAATTAAATTTTAAAACTACATTTTTTATTTATGCAAAAATTATCTAAACATCAAATAAAAATAACTCATTTTATAGACTTAAATAAAACTGAAATTTTTAAAATTTATTTAATTTTAAATCATAATGTGATAATAAAATATAGTTTGAAAGACCTGCTAATTTTTCGTGGATCTATACTTGCATAAAATCCATTGAGTGTGGGACTCAAATAACTTTTGTAGTCTTCGAAGCGCGTTAAGACCACCGCAGAATCACTTTTGACTTCAGCTTTTGAATAAACTACAGCACCATGAAAAATAAAACATAAAAAAGGAGAGAAAGAAAAAAATAAGAGGAAAATGTGAAAAAAAGTAGAAAAAAGAAAAAGGCTCCTCGTATGGAAAGTCAAAAGTTTTCACCGTATAATGCATAGTTATATACAGGTAAAAGATAAAAATAAAAGTATTTATAGGATTCTTCTAACTTATACTATAGAAAAAAAAAAGTGTACATCTTATTTTGACTTTATGAAAATTATGTGAAATAATCTTTGTCCATTAGACTGTTATTTATTAAGGCATAAATCATCTAAAGATCAAATAAAAATTAATTCATTTTAAAGACTTAAGTAATGCTAAAAATATTTTTAATTTTTTTAATTTTAAAACCTAATATGATAATAAAATATAGTATGCCATAAATACATTTATTTTTATTCTTTAGTTTTATATAATTATGAATTTTATATAACTATTGTTCGAAGAATACCGTATGATGTAATATTTTTACGACAAAATTATTATCACATAATTTTCAAAATATATATTATTTTAAAACCCGTCATGGATTCACAATTTTAATATTTACCTTTAGGACAAACGTTAGAACTTTGGGGACACAACTTCTCAACCAAAATGTGTACAGAAGTAGAAAAGTACTTGTCATGGTTGACTTGAATGTCACTCTTTATAATGCAGTTTCCAAATCCATTTTGATAAACTTTTCTACAAAAAAATATTAAAAATAAAAAATAAACAAATTTTCCCATAAGATAAAACTAGTTTATGCACGAGTTGAAAAATTTTAAAAAAATTATATATATATATATATATATATATATATATATATATATATGAGAGAGAGAGAGAGAGTTTCTACATGTTAACATATATACATAAGCTAATTTTAATTTACCAAAAAATTAATTTCATTTTGGGCTAAAATAAGATTCAGGTCCTTAATACATGAGTAATTTTTGCTGAATACGTAATGATTTTATTTTTCAAAATTAGTATTATTAAGTTATAAAATTTTGGTTCAAGCTCTCAAAAAAATATATGTATATTTTGTCCTTATTATTGGGTTTTTTAATTGATTTTCAAATATTTTTAAATTTCTCATTAGATATTTTAACTTTTTATGCTAACAATCAATAATAAGTTTTTTAATATTACATGGTAAGATATATATTGTTGTTATTGCTACAAATAATGAAAGTAACTTAATACATGTACATCTATGAACACTTTTTTTTTTTCATTTTGTTATGTTTTTATGGTCGAATTATTTCAATTCTTACAATAGATAAAAATTATGTCCATAATTTTGAGCATAACAATTATAGTTATGTGTGTTGAGATTGAAAATAGGTAATATTAAGAGTTGTTTACAACAACATCTCAACTTGTGGTTTAATTGAGCAATTTGGTTGATAAAACCATCATAATAGTCTATTAAATAACATGTCGTTTAGTGGTTATATCAATTGATTTCACTGGATCAATTGATCATTTATGTCTTATAAGGTTCCAATGCGAATAATTACTACAAGTTGATGAGGTTAGATTCAAACAATGTCACTTATCTTCAACTTATTTGATGAATTAGAACTAGATTTGACCATATATTTTAAAAATACATAACTAAACTAAATTATATGTGATCATCAAACTAAATTATATGTATCCTCTAGTAGGTTGAGTTCACATTGTTAGAATTAATTAATTAAATTAATTATAGTTTGTGATTCATGTAAAATATAATGATAATTCAAATGTGATTTAATAAAATAAATATAAAAATCTATTGATTATTATGGAAGTCATAATAAAATAAAAATAAAAATTTATGATAACCAATTTGATGGACGTTGGTTGATAAAATGAGATTAGGTTCTAGTCATAAAGTTGTTTTCACATTAAACCATTAGAAAAGTGTGAGAGGAGAAAGAAAGACAAATAGATAAATTGAGAAAATGAGGTTGAAGAACAAAAAGATTGAAAAACGTATTCTTATTAAATATATCTCTCATAAATCAATGTTAGTCTTTTTATTATGATTTATATATGTTATTGTGTGATAATCATAAATTTAAAAATCATGTATAATAATTTTCTACAATGAATTAAGAATATAAAAAAACTACAAATTATTTTACACACATGTGACCAACTACGCATCATCAACATGTTTGATAGAACAAGTGTTAACGAGCAACATGTATTGTTAACTAGCTACATAAAGACTCGACGAATTGTATGTCATTAGCTTAGCCTCACTTGATGAAATTGACCAGGCACAAGTTATCAACCTCTCCTAATGAAGGTAACTAATTGCAAGTCATTATATCACTTGATGAAGTTGATCAATTGATGAAAAGTTGACTAATTAATTATTAGTAGCTCTTTTGAAAGAATTAGAATATGCATATTATCAGTCTCATCTCATAAAAACTCAACTATTGAATATTAACTAGAATTAACCTGTGTCATTCAGAAAACCCCTGTGCTGCAACACTAATTGCTACATGTCAATTGGTGTGACCACTAAACCAACAATAAATATCAATATCAACCAAGTATGTGAGCAGGTCTTATAAAGCATATTAATAAGTTAAGATTATCAAATAACAACTAGTTTGAAATATATAAAGATGTCCATAAAAACTAAGTAAAGTAAAAAGGATAATCCAAGAGTGTTTTTCTATGTATAAGTAAGTTTGCTCATTGGGTTAACATTAAAAAAAAAACAAAATGACACTAAAGATCTCAAAGATCATTGAGCAGACACAATACTTTTGTATAAAGTTGTATTATCCATTACTAGAAAATAGGATTTTTACATTAATTATTTTGATCATTTTACATCGGTTATTAAATCGATGTAAATGTTATTGATGTAAAAAGATCGGTTCACAATTAATATATAAAAGTAGATATTAACATTGGTCGTAAATAAAAAACCAATGTAATATATCACCTTCTACATTGATTTTGTGTTATAACCGATTTAGAAAGTGACATATTACATTGGTTCTTTTTACAACCGATGTTTGTCTGCTTTAATATGTATCACACTTGTAAATGTCAAATTTTTTCACATAATCATTGATATAGAATGTTATTTGTTTTCACTTTTATACTTTTCCACAAAGACGATAATTTTTTTGTTCATTCTTCATAAAGTTTATCATATGATTAGTAAAAGATATATAAGTAATATACTTACCTATAATTATGACAACCAGAAAGACATAAGATGATAATAACATAGAGGAATAGTGACAATATCCTAAATAGTAGATAATTACACAATAATTTTATTTTGTTATGATGGTTGAACAATATTTGAAGAAGAGGAAATTTGGAGAGAAAAATTGAAAAGAAGAAACTTTGAAAATGATGAGTTTAGAAAAAAAAAAGTTTTAAAATGGAGAAATCTTAAAGAGGAGAACCTTAGGAGGAGGTGTGAGAAAGTGTAACAAAAATTCTATACAAGAATTCTATGCATGCATAATGAAGAACTAACGTCTAGAATGTCATCTAAATTATATCCTATAGTTTTTCTGTTTCCTTTAATTACATGAATTAATTTAGATTCTTGTTCTTCATTCAACAAATTAAAATAATTACAAAAAATAACTATCACAAAAATACATACTTTTAATTATAAGGAAAATATTTTAAATCAAGTGAAGAATGTTTTAATTTAGACCGCTTATTTTTGGGGAACAAAACTATATTTTGTAATATTTTATTCCTTTTCTATTTTTTTTCTCGAGTAATTTTGCAAAACACAAGAAAACTTGGTTCAACCATTACTTTTCTTTCTAAATTTTTATAATTTTTCATCAAGCTTTTGCTCAAAGATTTCATTTGAATAATTATTAAGCATTGGAGAAATTTCACTAAGCTAATTTAGCTTTCGCATAGAGCCAACATTCTAGGAATGAAATATTAGTTATTCATATTTTTGTCAATGAGCAAATATTTTCAACTTTTGTCTATCGCCATATCATTTTGTTTTAAATTTATCCATTTTTTGAATTTTGCATAAGTTTTGCTGAATGAATTTTAGATTACGCACAACACAATTAAGCTTTGGAAACTTTAGATATTTTTTACTAAGTGAATTCAACTTTCGCTAATTCATTTTTGTCTCCTCAAAATGCAACATTGTATGATTTTTATGATCAAATTTGACTTTGGCTTAACACTTTCTTCGAATTTTTGCAAGAAATACTTATTTTCTTGTTCTCACTAAGCGAATTTTTGCATTTGCTACGTGGAATTTTCACATGTTTCAACATAATTTTTCTTTAGTATAATAGTATGTTAAATGTGAGGGAGAGTGACAATATTCTCAACAACCAATTCATAAAAAATATCAATCCAAAATATAGAATGACCCATTTAATGATATCTAATTGCATCTAAAATGTTAAATACTATGTTGCCACCAAACTCTATTGTTACATTGTCAACATGTTATATTGGTGTACGTTGTGTTCAAGAATGATTTTCCTAATACAATTGAAGTATTATTGAACACTACAAGAAAAAACACATTTAGCCACCGAAATTAGCGATCGAATTTTTCGGTCGCAATTAGTGACCGATTCAATTTTGGTCGCAACTAGCGACCGATTCAGCGACCACTTTAATTCGGTCGCAATTAGCGACCGATTTAGCGACCAAAATATGATTTATTTTGCACTTTTTTATTTAGCGACCGAAATAGCGACCAATATTTTGCGTCGCAAAATTTCGATCGTTAAATCAGTGACTATTTCATACTAAAATAAAAAAAATCATTTAGCGACTGATTTAGCGACCGAATTACAAATTGAAATAGTGATCGAATTAAAATCGATCGCTAATGAGAAAATAGCGACCGAATTGAAATCGGTCGCTAATGAATATTATTTTTTTATTATATTTAAATTTTTTTTATAAATATACTTTAATTGTTTTAGTATATTTTTTACAATTTATTTTTTAAAAGTAATTTATTTTTTAAAAATAATTTAATTTTTAAAATATACTTTAAAAATAAACTTTGGTCTCAATATTAACAAAATGAATTGTAATAAATCAAATTTATTAAAAATTTAAATTGTAATAAATTAAGACTAGAGTGATGTTAACTATTCAATACATTGTTTAAGAAAAGTTTAATAACAAATATTCTTGAATTTATTTTTCAATTGAAAATTTCAATTGAAATTAAATTATATTTTAAAAATTTATATTAAAAAATTGAAGAAAATAGAGATTTAATTATACTTTTAATAAATTTAACATAATAATAGTTTTGATTTTTTATTTTTAAATATTTATTTTAATTTTTTAAAACAGAGAAACTATAATTTTAGTTTCTAAATACTAAATTTAAAGAATTAAATTTATTATTATTTAATCTTTTAATTTTAGTATTAAAATTTTAAATTATATTTTATTAAATTAAAATAATATTACAATATATTTTTCTACTTTGAGAATGAAAAATATAATTAAACTAAAAGCTGAAAATATTATAATACATTTTTGAACTCTTTTTGATTAATTTTTTTTCCTAATTTTTTATAAAGTCAATTTTAATATTTAAAAGTATTTAACATTTTGCTTTACGAAATGTTTTACGTATTACCAAATTCCGAGCTCTTAATAACCTCTACAACCAAATTCAATTTCGAGAGAAACCGAGTGCCCAAATTCCGGGCACCAAACAATACAAAAAGAATGTAAAGAAATGAAAAAGAAGAAACTAGAATGCTCAAACCAATTTATGCAATTCTGCTGTAAGTGTTTCTTCTTCAAAAGAAATCAAGTTGCCTCAAGAAAGATTTTCAAAGAACTTCTCAAAAGCTGATGCGAATCTTTCTTGAAAAGAGTCTTGAAGTTTGCTTGATTGATTGCTCAAGGATGTGTAAAAGATGATATTCAATGTATGTTAAAAAGTTCAAGCCAAGCTTGTGTTTTATAGAAGATTTTCAAAGCTTGGTTTAATTAATCTGTTAAAAGATTCTTTTAATCTGTTAAAAGTGCAGTTTTAATCTGTTAAAACTTATTTTAATCCATTAATACGTTCTTGATTCTTTAACAGATTTGTTTTAAGCGATACGACAACGTTTATATCAATTAAAACACTTTACAAAAAATCTTCTAAGTTGATTTAATCGATTGTTTCACGATTCAATCGATTGAAATCTTGCAAAACTTTCTTGTAAAACTTTTCAAGTTATTTTAAGCTGATAAAAATAAGTTTTAATCGATTAAAACTATCGTGTAGAAATTTTTAACTTGTTTTAATCGATTGAAAGCGAGATTTAATCGATTAAAAGAGTTATGATCGGTCATAACTAAATTTTGATCGATCATAAGCGATTCGATCGGTCAAAATTACATTCGATCGATCATCACTGAACCCTTAAGTGGTTTTAATCGATTAAAATCAAGTTGTATCGATTAAAATATTGTAAAAACATTTCACTTGACATTTTAAGTAATTTTAATCGGTTCTATCAAAGTTGTATCGGTTAAAAACTTGTTTGAGAAAGCTTTTGTCAAAATACTTTGTTTTTAATTGTTAAAAACATTTTTAGAGGCATTTTGCAAAATCTTTTAAGTGAAGAAACCTCATGCAACGAAATCTTTTAATTTTAGTATTACAAATTTAAATTATATTTTATTAAATTAAAATAATTACAATATATTTTTCTACTTTGAGAATGAACAATATAATTAAACTCAAAATTGACAATATTATAATACATTTTTGAACTCTTTTGGATTAATTTTTTTTCCTAATTTTTGATAAAGTTAATTTTAATATTTAAAAGTATTTTACATTTTGAATGCTGAAAGGTTTTCTCTAATAGAAAATTTAAAAACATAATATTCAAAAAAATAGTTAATGTAAGTTTTCATTATGATCAATTATAATTAGAAATGATAGATCATAATTGAGAAGATATGATAGCGGTTCCACGTTAACCGCTATCTAAAGTATAATTTAGATAAGCGGTTAAGGGTTACCCACTATTAGAAGTGCGCTTTTAAGAGCGGTTCTGTGGAACCGCTATCTAAAATGTATTTCGCTTGAGCGACAACTGGTCTCGCTCGAGCGAAACGCCCTGCACAAAATTGGCATTCTCGGGTTATATTTCGCTTGAGCGACTCTAGTCTCGCTCGAGCGATATCCGATGAAAAAATGTATCAATAAATAAATAAAATATAGTTAGATAGCGGTTAAGGTTTAGCCAGCTATCAGAAGTGCTCTTTTAAGAGCGGTTCGAGTGGAGCCGCTATTATATACAACCAGATTTTTTGATTCGATCGATTAGATTTTCAAAATGATCGATCATATTTGATAATTTTTTCAAATAATTAATTATAATCGATTAGTTTTCTAAATTATTGATTAGAATTGATTAGTTTTTCAAATAATAGATTAGAATTGATTAATTTACGAAATATATACTAAAAATTTATAATTAAAAATATAAATTATTTAAGAATATTGACTATTGTAAAGATAAAGTAGAACATGGGAGGATATGAGGATGATAATATAATGATAGAACTTACAAAAATGTAGAATTGAGAAGTTTGAAACAAATAAAATTAAGAAACTAGAGATTTAATTACACTTTTAATAAATTTAAGATAATACTAGTTTTGATTTTTATTTTTAAATATTTATTTTAATTATTTAAAACGAGAGAAACTATAATATTAGTTTCTAAATACTGAATTTAAAGAATTAAATTTATTATTATTTAATCTTTTAATTTTAGTATTAAAAATTTAAATTATATTTTATTAAATTAAAATAATTACAATATATTTTTCTATTTTGAGAATGAACAATATAATTAAACTCAAAATTGACAATATTATAATACATTTTTGAACTCTTTTGGATTAATTTTTTTTCCTAATTTTTGATAAAGTTAATTTTAATATTTAAAAGTATTTAACATTTTGAATTCTTAAAGATTTTCTCTAATAACAAATTTAAAAACATAATATTAAAAAAAATAGTTAATGTAAGTTTTCATTATGATCGATTATAATTAGAAATGATCGATCATAATTGAGAAGATATGATAGCGGTTCCACGTTAATCAGCTATTAGATAGTGCAAGCTTTTAAGATGCGGTTCTGCATTGGAGCACGCTTATCTAAAATGTATTTCGCTTGAGCGACACTGGTCTCGCTCGAGCAAAACGCCCCCTGCACAAAATTGGCATTCTCGGGTTGTAATTCGCTTGAGCGACACGATACTCGCTCGAGCGACATCCGATTCAAACATGAGGTCACCCATGTTTTTCGCTTGAGCGACAATGATCTCGCTCGAGCGACAGCCACATTTTTTGATAATGATCGATTACATTTTCAAATGATCGATCATATTTGAAAATATATAATAGCGGTTAATATTTAACCGCTATTAGAAGTGCTATATAATAGCGGTTAAGATTTAACCGCTATTAGAAGTGATATTATAATAGCGGTTAAGATTTAACCGCTATCATATACTACCACATTTTTCATTTTCGTATCTCGCGCCACTTATCCCCAAATAACCCTAACTCTCGCGCCTGACTCACTCATTCCTCTTAACCTTGGCTAGTATCTCCTCCTCACTCCCGGCGAGCCCTAGCCCCCTCACTGCTCCCCCCAAGTCAACCCTCACCCTAATCCAACCTCCACCAAAGCTCCTAGTCAACCGGACGCCACCCTGTGAGCCACCACGCCACACCTCTGTTCTTAACCTCCTCATGACCTCTAACACCCTCGACCAAGGTTTGGCTTGTTTGAATGTATATCTTGTTATTCTCTTGCATTGTGAATAATATAGGAGAGATAATTTTGACGAGAATTTCTTTATGGTTTGTTGTAGGTGGATTTGTGAAGTAGATAGGTTCTTCGAGATCCCTCTTCTTGCGGATTTGGTGGTGCTTGACGGACCAATTTGGGAACTTGTTTTGTTTTGTTTAAAATATGAACACCATTGTTATGTTTAAAATATGAAGGAATTTTAGCAGAGACCTTGTGCACTACTTGTTCTTTTGTTTCCCTCTTTTACCTAGCGAGGTGCGAGGCGGCGGTGGCACTCGGAGTAGCAACGAGATCGTTGTGCTTTCTATAATTGCGGAGTTCCTTGGGTGGCGGGTGCTTCATTGTCTTCATATTTTTATTCTAAGTTTGATTTTAGAAAGTTATGTGTGCATGATGTATCCTTTATAGTGTGTGTTGCGTAAACATAATAAGATCTTCAATTAACAAGAGGCCATGATTGTTAGGCTAGATGGTTTTGTACACCATTATCCTTCTTTTTCATTTGAGGAAAATCGAGGTACCAAGGTGATAAATAAACTTATTTTGTGATTAGTACAAGACACCTTGTACTTACATTATGGAAAGAAATACTTGAAAGATTGTTACATTGAAGGGAGTGTGGACTTCATTTTTGGTAATAGTCTTGCACTCTTGGAACATTGTCACATCCATTGCAAGTCGCGGGGTTTATAGCTGCACGGAGCAGAAACTCTCCACGGGAAAAAGCTGGTTATGTATTCCTGAGGTGTGTGATCATGCCTAATACTTACAATATCATCTTCCCACATAATATTTTTTTTTAGTCATTGTAACTTGTTTAACAAGGAAAGAGACATTTCCCAATCATCTTGTTTCCCCTACAATACAACAGTGTTAGTGACTCTTACTTTGTTTTCCAATTCCAAGGCAAAATATGTTCTCTCTTAGTTCTTCTTATGTGAAATCAAGTAAGTACCTAGGTTGAAGTTTATCATCATGACTGAGTCATGTTTATGAAAGCTGATTAAGATAATGAGAGAATGCTTGGTTTTGAAGATGATCTTGCTTTTAAGTTTTGCAATTTGGTTTGTAAATGTTTAGAAGCATGGCTAACACGGATTTAGGAGTATTTAATTAGAAAAAAACATTCTAGGTTAAAACAAGAACCAGATTCTCTTGAAGCTAGGGAAATGATCCCTTGAAAATTCAATGAATTCGGGAATCCTGTAAGAAATCTTAGAATAAAAATCTTTGAATCTCATACTACTCTATGCTTCCTTGTCAATATTTTGCTCCTCTCCCTTTACGGTGTTTCTTTGGTGTGTTAATGCGTTAAACTTACGAGTCCAAGAAAGGATACTACACAAGTAAAGTACTTTTATTATGTTGTGAACATTTTGGTTCCTTACATGATGTTTTGTTTGTGGTGTCATTGCAGATGTGTTGTCACGAGTAATGGGGGAACTTCATATGCATATCCGGGAAGACCATGGAGACCTTTTGCAAGAGTGGTTTTTGCATTCACTTTCATGGATCAATGTATAAAGCACTGCAAGGTGGAATAATTGGGGCAAAGTTGAGAATGAAAGAACTTCTTGCTTCTATAAATACAGGCAATCATTTCTAACTCCATTCTGTAATATTGTTATCATCACCAAGGCCTTCTTATACTCATTATATCAATGGATCTGACAGCAAAATTGTTGATAATTTCATAAAAACATCAAAGTGAAAGAGGGTCTAAAGTGTATAAAATTGTTGTTTATTGAGTTGAACAAGTTTGGAGTAATTTGATAAGAGTGCAGGTGTTCTGGACCGACACTACAAGAAAATCGCGTATTACCGACGGATATTTACCGACGGATTTGTATCCGTCGGAAAATAATTATTACCGACGGAAATTACCGACGGATATAAAATATTTGTGGAATTTGATCTTACAGACGGATATATCTGTCGGTAAAATAATAATTAGTTACCGACGGATATATCCAGTCGATAAATCCGTCGGTAATTGACGGATGAATTTACCGACGGATATATCCGTCGGTAAATCCGTCGATAAATTAATAATTAATTACCGACGGATATATCCGTCGGTAAATTCATCTGTAAATTACCGAACGGATATTTACGTCGATAAATTATCAATTAGTAAATATTTAACTAATTAAAAAAATTTAATATTTTTTATTTAATAATTTCATTTAATCAAAATTAGATTAATTTATAATAATTTCTTAAATTAAATAATTTTAAAAAATAAATATTTAAATATATATAAATATATAAAAATATATAAAAACATATAAAAATATTTAATTGTATATAAATATATAAATATATATATATATATATATATAAATATATAAATATATAAATATATAAAAATATAAATACATAAATATATAAATACATAAATATATAAATACATAAATATATAAATACATAAATATATAAATACATAAATATATAAATATATATAAATATATAAATATATATAATATATATAAATATATAAATATATATAAATATATTTGTATATAAATATATTTGTATATAAATATAATTTATTTGTAAATTATTATCAAAAAATTCTGGTAGCTTAGTGGTTGGAGTAATAATAATTGAAGCCTATAAAATTGTAATAGGGAAAAATAATTAATAATAAATAATAAAAATATTACAGACAGATTCCTGTCCAGTCGGTAATTTCGATCAAACATTTAGCGACGGATATATCCGTCGGTAATTACCAACGGACTATTAAATCCGTCGGTAATATTTACAGACAACCAAATTTCAGACGGATTTTTGGTCGTCGAAAATCCGTCGGTAAATGGATATTACAGACGGATTTTTGTTATTACCAACGGATTTTGACCGTCGGTAATATCAAAATTTCTTGTAGTGCGGGTTTCGTCCATCCTAAAGAGTGAAATGGGCCAGAGAATTGAAGAATGAAGGAGTCGAGCGGTTTCGAGTCACACCTTCATTGATATAGAATCGGACGGATCTTGGCTTCCTCAAAGAATGACCTTCAATTATTAATTAGGATTATTATTATAATAGAATAATTAATAGATCTTGGCTTCCTTCATAAAATTCCTACTACAAGTCAATATGACACCGACAATATACCGGAGGACTAATTTTCAATTTTATGATATTAAGACTTTGAATCTTGAGTAGTTGTTAAGTTCTTAAGTTTCATTTGTGTTATGTTTGGATGAATTAAGCACGTACAAATTTTGTAAAATTGGATATACAAAATTTGACTTTAGTTCTTAAGTTTTCATTTGTGTTATGTTTGGATGAATTAAGCGGTACAAATTTTATGATTTGAATAATTTGACTTTAGTTCTTAAGTTTTCATTTGTGTTATGTTTGGATGAATTAAGCAGGTACAAAATTTGTCAAATTGGATATACAAAATTTTAAACGAAAATTTTCAGATTTGGTTAGATTAGCGATCGAATTTTTGGTCGCTACAAATTTATTATAATATACAATTCAAATTTAGCGATCGATTTAAATTATTATTTAAATAATTCAATTAATATATTAGCGACCGATTATATCCGTCACTATTATTTTTAACTTTGTCTCCATTTTAACGACCGATTTAGCGATCGATTTAGCGATCGATTTTAATTATTATTTAAATAATTATATTAATATATTAGCGACCGAATATATCGGTCGCTATTTTTTAAAACTTTACCACGGATTTAGCGACCAATTTATTATATTATTTTCGGTCGCTATTTTGATCTTCAATGCATAAGTGACCAAATTATTTAGTGACCACTTTAGCGACCACCTCATCGGTCGCTATTTAGCGACCGTAAATCGGTCGCTAACAAATTAGCGACTTGCCCTTTTGCGACCATTAGCGACCGATTTTTGGCCATTAGCGACCGATTTTTTCGGTCGCTAATAGCGTTTTTTCTTGTAGTGGAAAGAGTCCCCTCCCATGTTAAGAATGTATGGACGGGAGCTTTAAGTTCTTCACCATTAAGATATCTTTTATTAAATCGGCTTGCATTGTGTTTCTATTGACACATTGAATCACCACACATGTATTTTGTAAAGAAACAAAAAAGAAGAATAAATAACCAAAGACATATCATTTAGATATTCCTAAATCAAACATTAAATTTTCAAACTTGTTATTTCCAATGACACATAAATATCCTTAGATTCATGCATTTTTCTTTGACCAAAGTTATTTGGTCATAATCATCGTATATTAACCTATCATAAGATGACAATTAAGAATATATTTATTAGGTTTATAATTTATTAAAAAAAATAATAAAGAAGAGAGTTAATGATTCATCCAATAATAAATTCAAGATTTTAAAATCGAATATTATTAGTTATGGATTTGGTCACGGATCTCGATTATAGATTTCAGTAACAAATTCAGTCATTATGGATAAGTGACTAATGCTGTCACTTTTTTTTATTAGGGACTGATTTTGATCCAAACTTTCAGCACTATTTATGGTTTTTCTTGTATTGTAGTAATCTAATTGAGTATACCAGAAAGTCATTCATATTTTTATAATATTTTCAATCGTATAAACATAAATATTCTTCCTTGGATTTGATGGAATAGGAATTATGATGGTTAAAATATATAAATTCTCTTTGCGTACACATTGATAGAGGTAAATTATACGGAATAGTAATCGCAGCCCAAAAAGAATAAGCTTACAAGTTATGTTAAATAGGACAAAACCATCATCACACAACCTTAATTGCATATTTCGATGTTCTTAAACCAAGAAAGATCAAGTTTCATTAAATTTAATTCAAGTTTGACCATCGTATGGATTACTTATATAACGTCATTATTTTTTATGGACATGATGTCGTGTCATTTTATGAGCCATTTTTCATTGATAAATACAAACATTAACCTTAGAATAAACGAAAGTTACCCGAACTAATATTTCCTTACCCGATTTATTAACCTCTGTTATATCTTTGTGTATTACAAATTGAACACATATATACTATATCAGTCTTCTTATAGTATAACATAGATTCAATTGAACAATAATCAATTTTCACATATACCTTATCCAATTTCAGATACTATAACTTGATAATTATTTATAGGCTATTCGCATCTTTCATAAATTTCAAAAATTGAACACATGCCGTTAACAACATGACAAAGTAAAGTAGTTATGACATCTATCCTATATAAAGGAGATTGTGCATCTATCAACATGTTCAATTATTTTATCCTTTATCGAATAAAAACAATTAATTATTTAATATACATAAATTTATGATCATTTAAGTAATGATCGAGTTATTTAAAATAATCACCTATTTTTCTATCCAATAAAAGTAATAAATATATAAAATAAAATTAGTGTAGACATTAAATTTTAATTTATTAAAATAAAATAACATAATAAAAAATAGAAAATGATGAATAATAATAAAAAGTTTTTTTATTACTATTGTTACACAGACAAACAAACAGAGAGAATGACCATGAATAACCAAAAATAATATTATAACGTGTTGCCTTCGATTCAAATGAAGTGACGAGGCTCGAAAAATAAAGCACATGTGTTACGTTGAACCAAACACAGCAACTAATAGAAAACAAAGCAAAACACATCTAAGAAAATCAGCAAATGCGATTGTTTATTCCTTGATTCACATTTAAGGTTTGTATTTATTAGATTTTATTATGTCTGTCTTATTTATCATATGTTAAATTTTATATTAATTAAATATAATAATATTTTAAAGCCAATGACTATTTTACAAGATTGATAGTTTTAATTTAAAAGATTAATAGTTAAAATTTTTATATTTTGTACTATTTAATAAAAATTAGAAAAAATTTAAATATTTTTCAATATATACATATTTTAATATAAGTAATATAAATATATGTTCAAACAATAATAATAATAATAATAATAATAATAATAATAATAATAATAATAATAATTTAAAAGTTATAAAATTAAAAATATTTAGTCATAATAATATATAAAAAAGAATGATATTAAAATTAATCTATTACATTTTCTATATAATTAATTTTAAAAAATAATATAGAAAAATGACGGATTAAAGTCAAAGAAATCAGAAATCTAATATGATTGGATTGGAGAGGGCAATTTAATTTCTAGCCCAACGAAAGTCACAAGGAAATTACTACTCTGCAGAAACAAGGAAACGATGAGAAGAAATACATAGTAATCAATTCCATAACTGGAGGATCCTTTTCTGTTTTTAAAGAAGAGCAATAACTTACTTGAAGTCACACGTTACAATTTCTTTTAAGAATTTATGGAAGACATTTTTATTTGGCTGATGGCAAGCCTCCATTTCCAAGTCATTTGGATCAGCATATATCAGATACACAGCTGTGTTCTTGACAACCAATCCATGAGCAAGAGTCACAAAAATCTCCACCTTGTCTCCAGATTCTAAATTTGACATTATGCCCTCCCAATCTCTGTCATCAAAGGAAATTACTGTGCCATGCTTGTGTATGTGGAATGTGCACTTTGTGTAGTTAACAATTAAGACACTTGTAAGACATTCAGTTGCCAAGTTGTCAGGGGTTGATAAATAAACAACACACAAAGCCATTCCCTTTACGTCACAGTCCTGAGGCATAGTGAAACAAACTGAATGTCCTTCACCCACATGGGCTAACCAATAAGGACAATTGTCACCTGGAAGACAAACATACGAAGATTCACTCCTTGCCAATCCCTGTCCCATGAGATAAAAGTCTTAGTCATGTATGTAATTTTGCTATTCAATTCATCACCTGTAATCACTACTTTACCATTCCAAATTTAAAAAATTGGCATTTTTTATCAATATACATTGTATTCCAAAACATAAAAATAGGCTTTAAAATTAAATTACAATATATTCCAAAACGAATAAAGGAGAGTAATTATTTGGCATGTTGATCATTAAAATCGGGTAGTTTTAGATGAAGCAATTCAACTGTAGATGCTATAGGCGCATAAAGGACAGTACTGCAAATTCTTCTACATACTTTATCAGGATCGTTAATTTCATGTTCTTTTAATAGCTAAAATGAATGGTGAAGGTAAGTACATAAAGGTAAAAAGCTAGAGAAGGAACCTCATGTATGCTATCGCTTAGAGTGTTGAAGAATTCATTGTAACTTCCAACACCAATCAAAGAAAACCTCAAGTGATGCTCTGAAGTTCTTAATTTTGTAACATTTGCACCGCATTCGACAAGTGTTGTTCTTACTTGCTTAGATAGTTGAAACTCTGTGTCACATTGAACCAAAACACTTCGAAGATTTGCAAGGCTGCTAAACAATGGCGAAAGGTCACGCCAATTATTATTCTCCATATGCGTGCTAAACGGCCTAATATTGTGTGAGATCCAAGACCGAATGATAGAAGGATAAATTTTGTGTGACAATCCTTCAAATCCACGTAGGGATACATATCCAATGCATTTTGAGCTTACAATTGAAAGGGGAACTTGTTTCACTGCGTTATTTTCAGCAATTAGTGTTATCAAGGATTCTATCTTCACTATATCTTTTTCCAAAATGTGAATCTTGGAACAACCAGATAGGATGAGAGTTTTTAAAGATTTCAACTTATATACCTCTTTTGGGAGATTGCTAAGACTTATACAATCCTTCAAATTTATGAGTAGAAGATTGCAGAGATCTCCTATGGATTGGTGTACCTTGCACAAACTTGGACAATCTTTGAGAATGAGCTTTTTAAGACTTGGTAGTCCTGAAAAGTCCGGTGTTTCCGTCAAGTACTTGGAGTGACTTAGATTGAGAAATTTTAGCCACCCTAACACCTACAATAAGTTTTTTTGTTTAAATAAAAGAAAATTAGAGAAGAAAAAAAAATGCAATAGGTATAACTGAAATCAATTACAGAATTTCTACTTTAATTAACCGATGAGTTCTAGTAGAAAAAAAGAGACGTAATGTATACCCATGGTTGTTTCCCGACACATCTGAGATTACTGTATTTTAAATCAACCGCAATTGCACCTTCCATATTACAGTTGTTAGGTATATATTTTAATGGAAACCCTCGATGACAGATCCATCTCAGTTGCTTTGAAAGGTTCCGATAGTCTCTCGTGAATAGTTGAGAGTAAAGTTCCAGCAGTCTCAATATCTCCTTGTTCTGGAAAGCATAAATTTCCAACCAATATGTGATGGGTAATGATGACTTCAGAGTCAATCCCTGAATAGCCGCTGTTCCCTGTGATTAAAAGAGCGAAGTAAAACAATTGAGAAATCCCTCAAAGCAGAGCATGTATTGTTGATTAAAAATTGAAGACTTTCATATCAAAAGAATATTTCTTACATTATTCTTTGTCAGTACAAATTTAGCCTCGTCAGCAAACAGTCGAATGCGCTGCTCACGTTCCTTTGTTGAACTTCTACGAATAATTTCTCTTCCCATTTCTCGTAGCAAATGATGCATGCCGAGTTTATTTTTCTTTTCAACTTTGAGGAGGCTACGCTGTATGAGAACTGCTATTCCAATATCAGCCTGTAGTCCACAGCCATTCAGTATCTCTGTCACATAGCCTCTGTCTTCACCAATAAAGAAACAACATACATCAAGAAATATATCCTTTTCCATGTCACCGCCCAAACCATCAAAACTTATTCTCAATTTCTCTTTAACTTTATCATTGGGAATTCTCTTTAATTTTGACAATGCACTTTTCCACTCTTTCTTTGTCTTCTCATACAAATAAGAGCCAAAGACCTCAAGAGCTAATGGTAGTCCTCCACAATTAGCAACTACCTCGTTTGCAAGCTCAACGAAATCTTCACTTGGTTTTTCTTCTCTAAAAGCATGCCAACTAAAAAGCTCAAGGGAATCATTTTCGTTCATATTATTCATTTCATAAACATAATTAACGTTTAGTTCCTCCAGTAGTCTAACGTGTCTAGTTGTAATCACTACCACAGTTCCATGACCACACCATTTACGATTTCCACATAGAAATTTCAATGGGTACAATTGATTCGCACCATCAAGTACAATGAGCACCCTTTTCCCAGAAAGTCTTTCCTGAATCATACTTGCTCCCATCTCACTGCTCTTTATCTCGACCTTTGTTTTTAGGACATCTGAAAGAAGTTGTTTTTGGAACTGAAAATGCCCTCTTCCACAAATTTCTTCAACATCTTCAATGAAACTTTTATACACGAATGTATCATGAATTTGGTTGTAGACGGCTTTGGCGACGGTGGCTTTACCAAATCCTCGCATTCCCCATATCCCTATGATACTGACTTTGGTATTTTCAATATATCGAATCAGTTTTTCCACATGGGACTCTAATCCAACTGGAAATTTAGTAGCAGCTAAGACTGGTAAATAAAGGACGTTCTTAACAATTTTGTCCACTAGTTCAGCATCACTCCTTCAAGTTCAATAGCAATTATAGAACAAGTCATGTATTACCAAGATAAAATCACAAGCCTAAAATAAGATTCATTGAGTGAGTGATTTACCTGTAATTTCTCTCATCCCACCCAAACAAATTTGCTGCTTTGGTGAGTGCGCGGCTCCACCTGGACAAGGCATCTTCCACTTGTTGTCCTGAAAATGTTTGTTGCGCAGTTGCTTTCAAGGCTTTTCCAAAATCACCCTTCTGAAGACGTACATCAGATGGCTGAATTTCGTAATATACGGGCAGAACATGACGGCAATAAGTTTCGTGCCATTTAATGATTTGTTGAAGCTCATGAAGACACCAGGCAGATTCAGCATAAGTTTTGGTAAAAACAACTATTGCTATCCGACACAATTCTTTTGGTTGTGTTAGATGTTGGAGCTGCATGGAGTTGACTAGATTGTCCTGGTGAAGGAAAGTGGTGAATCCAGCAGCTGAGAGAGCAGAATCGAGATGAGAAACGAACTTCCTACAGATGTCTTCGCCGGTAAAGTTGATGAGCACATCGCATGAAGAAGACGCGAATTCCATCAAGGAACTGATCAGGGGTTGAATTGTGAGAAGAGAAAGCAATGATGCAAAATAAAGATAGATGCTCTGTTCTAAAGTGCCACTACCTTCTTCTACTTTATTGGTCTATCTATACTTACGTAAGATCCCATTAGTGCTGAGCTAATAAATGATTTTTTATAGTCCCCGAAGCGTGTTAAGACCACCGCTGAACCACGTGTGACTTTAGCCTTTCAATAGACTAGAGCACAATGAAAAATAAAAATTATATATATATATATATATATATATATATATATATATATATATATATATATATATATATATGAAAAAGGAGAGAGTCATTAAAAAGGGACAAACGAAAGGTACCTCGTGAAGGAAGTAAAATACTTTTAAAATAAAATTCTTAGAGCGAGAAGTAAAAGATAAAAGTAAAAGTATTTATGGCATTCTTCTAACTTATACCATTAGAAAGAAAAATGTACATCTTATTCTGACTTATGTGCAATAATCTTTGTCAATTAGACTACAGTTTATTAAGGCATAATATTCTAAAGATCAAATAAAAAATAATTAATTTCAAAGACTTATATAAAGCTAAGAATATTTTAATTTATAACCCAATACGATAATAAAATATTGTTTTCCATATAAATGCATTTATTTTTATCCTTTATTTTTATATAATTATGAATTTCATATAACTATATTAGTTTCATGTAAGATTTACTGTTAGAAGAATGTTGTAAATGTTATTATTTGATGTTGATATTACCAATGTAAATGTTATTGAGGTAGAAAATGGAAGATTTTTTGTCTTATCAGTTACTTGTGTACTCAATATAATTTCTACAAACATTAATTATACTCCTTAAGTAAAAATGATTTTTGTGACGGGGAATATGTGAGACATCATTATTATCAGAAAACATCACTACTTGCAAATTGAAAATTGAATTGATGATATCAATTGTGATAAAACACTTTGTGATATAAACCTCATTTTCACAAGAGTTCACTTAGATCTTTAGGGTTAGGGTTAGAATCTTATAGAAAATTTAGGAAATTATTAAGAAGATGAATTAGAAAGTGATGAAAATTTCAAGGTTGGACATTATTTTTGAAACGGTGATATCTTAAGCTATAAAACTCCGATTGAGGTGATTCAAAAACGAGGTGAAAGTTCTCTTTCTGAATTTCAATTTAGGCTCAAGAAACACTCAATTTGGATAAGTAGAACAAAAGTTATGACCACAAAATAAATCTGAATAGAATTGAGATTTTTGGATTTTGGTGAATAAAAAACAAGAGGTGAATGTGAAAGGTCATAGGAAAGAATCACTCTTCCCATGGGAGACAACTCACAAAGGATGTGCAAGTCCTTTGATACAACAAAAGATTATTGAATCACTCAAGAACTAATGAGAATCACTCTCACTAAAATAAAAGAGATAAATTCTAATATTTCTGAATAAAACTCAACTTATTATTTATGATAAAAATGGTTTAGCTTATGTAGAAGTTTTGTCATCAGAGTTACAAAGACTCAATAAAGGAAAATAAATATTAATAATGATTCATTAATCTAGGAATTGAAAACTACTTAATGAAGGCAAATAAATGCTAATAATCATCCATTAACCTAGAAATTCAAAACTACTTAATGACTGATATTAACTGAAATTGTGGTAATCAAAAGTTAATCAGCTATGCACATTCTTGGTCTTCCAAAGGCTGATATCTAAGTTTCCAATTGGACCCTTATTACAACTTGAAACAAAACCAAACTAAAGTTCATTAATTGATTAACCAAAAACATAATTTAGTCAACCAATTTTACAAAGGATTAGGTCATTATTTAAACAAACTTAAAGACTGAAACAAAGTGACGCATTATTCTTCCTCCATTTAGGCCATGATACAATTCACAAATTTGATATTTTCTCCTTGAAATGTAGGTTTGTATTTAAATAATATGAACAACACTTGTTGAAGAGCTTCCTTTGCTTCCCTTGCTCTAACCCTTGTCATAGGTCCTCCAAGTCCTTCAAGTGATCCTTGTCCTGATAGTTATGTCTCCATCATTTTCTCCCTCTTGAGAATGATTTGTCCTCAAATCGAATTCGTCATCTACATCAAAAAGAGATAAATCAGACACATTGAATGTGGAACTAACATTATACTCACTTGGAAACTCAATTTTGTAAGCATTGTCATTGATTCTTTAAAGCACTTGGAATAGACCATTCCCTCTTGGTCAAAGTTTTGATTTCCTTTGTTTTGAAAACCTTTCCTTTCTCATGTGCACTCAAACCAAATCTCCGGATTGGAAGACAACCTTCTTTCTCCTTTTGTTGGCTTGCTTAACATAACTTTCATTTCTTTTCTCAATTTGATTTTTGACTCTTTCATGAAGCTTCTTTACATAGTCCGCCTTAGCTTGACCTTCTTTATGCTTAAAAACTGAAACATTAGGCATAAACAAAATATCAAGAGGAGTTAGTGGGTTAAAACCATAAACAACCTCAAAAGGAGAACAATTAGTAGTGATATGAACAACTTTATTGTAAGCAAACTCAACATGGGGTAAACAAACTTCCCAATTCTTTAAGTTCTTCCTCAAAATTTTCCTAAGTAATGTTCCCAATGTCCTATTAACAACTTCTGTTTGTCCATCGGTTTGTGGGTGACAAGTGGTTGAAAATAACAATTTAGTTCCCAACTTTCCCCACAAGGTCCTCCAAAAATGGCCTAGGAACTTAGAGTCCCAATCAGTAACAATGCTCCTTGGCAATCCATGGAGTCTCACAATTTCCTTGAAAAACAAATAAGACACACGAGAAACATCATTCAATTTTTTTACATGGAATAAAATGAGCCATTTTAGAAAACCTATCAACAACCACAAAAATTGAATCTTTGCCACTACTTGTTTGTGGCAGCCCCAAAACAAAATCCACAGATAAATAAATCCAAGGATACTCCGGAATTGGCAATGGAGTATACAATCCATGAGGCTTAACTTTTGACTATGCCTTTTTACAAACAATGCAATGTTCACAAAATTTCTGCACATCCTTTTTCAAATGAGGCCAATAAAAATGTTCTTGTAATGTTTCCAGAGTCTTTTGGACACCAAAATGTCCCATTAAACCTCCTTCATGTGTTTCACTAACAAACAAGTTTCTTATAGAACATTTAGGTACACACAATTTATTTTCTTTGAAAAGAAAACCTTCATGTCTAAAGAAACCATTTTCTGAAAATTTTTCACAATTTTTAAAAATTTCACCAAAAGTTTCATCATTTTCATACGTGCCTTTCAAACATTCAAGACCAATCAATTTTGTTTCAAGTATAGAAAGTAAAGCATGACGCCGAGAAAGAGCATCAGCTACAATGTTACCTTGTCTCCTCTTATGTTTGATAACATAAGGGAATTGCTCTAGAAATTCCACCCACTTGGCATGCCTTTTATTCAGCTTACCTTGTCCCTTAAGATACTTGAGGGACTCATGGTCACTATGAATGACAAATTCCTTGGGATAAAGGTAGTGTTGCCATGTTTTCAAAGCCCTCACTAAAGCATACAACTCCTTATCATAAGTTAAATAGTTAAAGGTAGGACTACTTAACTTTTCACTAAAATAAGCAATTGGATGACCCTCTTGCAACAACACAACCCCACTTCCAACATTTGAAGCATCACACTCAATTTCAAAAGATTTTTGAAAGTTTGGCAAAGTAAGTATGGGGCATTAATTAACTTTTGCTTAAGAATATGGAAAGCTTCTTCTTGTTTCTCTCCCCATTTGAAACCAACATTTTTCTTGAGCACTTCATGGAGAGGTGTTGTCAATGTGATAAAATCCTTCACAAATGTCCTATAGAAACTTGCTAAGTCATGGAAACTTCTCACTTCGGTCATAGACTTAGGTGTAGGCCATTCTTGAATAGCCCTAACTTTTTTCTGATCCACTTGTATTCCTTTTGAACTCACAACAAAACCAAGAAATACAACATGGTTAGTACAAAAGATACATTTGTCAAGATTGGCATATAATTGTTCCTCTCTAAGCACACACAAGACAAATTTTAAATGATCAACATGCAAATCAAGTGAAGTGCTATAGATAAGAATATTATCAAAGTACACCACAACAAATTTTCCTATGAATTCTCTCAATACATGGTTCATTAATCTCATGAAAGTGCTAGGACCATTAGTTAAGCCAAAAGCCATAACCAACCACATTCATACAAACCATATTTTGTTTTGAAAGCGGTTTTTCATTTATCCCCTTCTCTAATCCTAATTTGATTGTATCCACATTTTAAATCAATCTTACAAAAGTAACACGCACCATGAAATTCATCAAGCAAATCATCAAGCCTAGGTATAGGATGCCTATATTTAATGGTGATTTTATTAAGGGCTCTACAATTGGAACACATGCGCCAGGTCCTATCTTTTTTAGGGACCAAAATTACCAAAACAGCACAAGGACTCATACTATCTCTTACCAAACCTTTGCTAATGAGTTCATCCACTTGTATTTGCATCTCTTTGGTTTCTTGTGGATTGCTTCTATAGGTTGACCTATTGGGTAATGAAGCTCCCAGAATGAGATCAATTTAATGCTCAATTCCCCTCAAAGGTGGTAGTCCACTTGGCACACTTGTTGGAAACACATCTTGAAAATCCTGCAAAAGAGATTTAACACTAGAAGGAAATTTAAAAACATCAAATGTATTAGTGGTCAAAATCTAATTTTTGTAAATCAAGATGTATAGGGGTTATTTAGCAAGAAGCAACCTCTTGACCTCACTTTTTGTGGCTAAATAACTGTCCCTCACTTCAAGTGTTTCACTAACACTCTCTTTTTTTCTCTTCTCTTGAAGAAGTTTTTCTCTCATTTTCTTTTGATCCTCACATACTTCTTGTGGACTCAAATATTTGAGCACAATCTTCTTGTCTTGGTACATGAAAGAGACATTGTTAATGAACCTGTTATGATTGA